AATATTTTATATTTTATCTATAGAAATTCCTGCTTTCATTGAGCCTGAGGGTCCCCGCTCAGATCACGCCTTGGGACACACGGGCAGAGGAGGCACAGCCTCACCCACACCTGCTCCAGCCACAGGGAATGTTTAATACATCATTTAATAGATATATTTTATATGTATTTATAAACACAAAATTATATATAAATTATAAAATAGTATAATATAAAAATATTGTATATAAAAATATATATAAATATATAATTATAAAATATTTCATTATACTACATATCATAATATATAATATAAATATATTAAAATTATATGTAACTATAATTATCTTGCATTGTATTTATATATTGTTTTAATTTACTATATATTACACTATATATTATATACTATATAATTATAATAATTACTTTATATATTTTATATTTTATCTATAGAAATTCCTGCTTTCATTGAGCCTGAGGGTCTCCACTCAAATCACACCTTGGGACACACGGGCAGAGGAGGCACAGCCTCACCCACACCTGCTCCAGCCACAGGGAATGTTTAATACATCATTTAATAGAGATACTTTATAATTATTTCATAAATTATTTTATTATTCTATATATTATATAACACAATTTAAATATCTCTATTATATATGTAATTATCTTACATTATATATTTATATATTGTTTTAATTCATTATATATTACACTATATATTATATATTATATAATTATAATAATTATTTTATATATTTTATATGTAGAAATTCCTGCTTTTATCAAGCCTGAGGATCCCCATTTGGATCACACCTTGGGACACATGTGGAAAGGAGGCACAGCCTCCCCCACACCTGCTCCAGCCACAGGGAATGTTTAATATATCATTTAATAGATATATTTTATATGTATTTCACATATTATTTTATTATTCTACACATCATATAATATATAACATAAATAAAGTAAAATTATATATAACTATAATTATCTTACATTATATACTAATATATTGTTTTAATTTATTATATATTATACTATATATTATACTATATATTATGTATTATAAAATTATAATAATTACTTGATATATTTTATATTTTATCTATAGAAATTCCTGCTTTTATGGAGCCTGAGGGTCTCCACTCAAATCACACCTTGTCACACATGTGGAAAGGAGGCACAGCCTCACCCACACCTGCTCCAGCCACAGGGAATGTTTAATATATCATTTATTATACAGATTTGATACTTTATATTGATTTCCATGTATTATTGTGCATATTTCATATATAATATAGATAATCTTCATTATATAGATTTGACACCTTATATTGATTTTCACATATTATTGTGTATATTTTATCTATATAATTTTTATTATATAGATTTGATACTTTATATTGATTTTTATATATTATTCTCTATATACAATACACTATATATAATTTTAAAAAATATATTAAAATAATCTATAACCCTATATAATTAAAAATAGTTTATATTATATATAAATTATATATGTTTATATATAGATTATACATTATATATAAATAAATATTATATTGTTTTGACAAGGCAGCTTAGAGGGGACACACACCCCTGGATTCCCCACCAGGTCTGGGGTGGATTCTTACAGAGCTAATGCACTGCTAAAATCTATAATAATATATATATAATATAATATAATGGCCAGACTGCAGGACTAAAATGTTGTCCAGGCCAGTCCATGAATAAAAGCAGCTATTTCGGGTCATGCTTCACGTTGCCTGTTTTAAGAATAACCTGGAAGGAGCTGAAGTGGAAGGAGAGCAGAGCTGCACTTGCCTGTCCAGGCCGTTCCAGCAGCACTCGAACTTGTCGAAGATGCAGTCGTTCTCATACAGCGAGCACAGCTTACTCCTGAGGTATTCGTGCACCTGGGGAGAGCGGGACACTGAGCCAGAGGAACAACCCCAGCACTGCTACAGCCTGGCACACGGGGGCTGGAGAGCAGCCAGGCAGGGAGGGAGCTGGGAGTGGGGATGGACAGGGAGCTGAACAGGAGCCAGAGTGTGCCCAGGGGGACAAGGAGGCCAATGGATCCTGGCCTGGCTCAGGAACAGGGTGGCCAACAGGGCCAGGGAAGTGATTCTGCCCCTGGACTCAGCACTGGTGAGGCCACCCCTGGAGTGCTGTGTCCAGTTCGGGCCCTCAGCTCAGGAAGGACATGGAGGGGCTGGAGCAGGTCCAGAGAAGGGCAACAAGGCTGGGGAAGGGACTGGAGCACAAGTGCTGGGAGGAGAGGCTGAGGGAGCTGGGGGGGCTCAGCCTGGAGAAGAGGAGGCTCAGGGGAGACCTCCTCACTCTCTGCAACTCCCTGACAGGAGGGGGGAGCCGGGGGGGGTTGGTCTCTTTTCCCAGGCAACCATCAGCAAGACAAGAGGGCTGGGTCTTCAGCTGTGCCAGGGGAGGGTTAGGTTGGATATCAGGAAGAATTTCTTTGCAGAGAGGGTGCTCAGCCATTGGAATGGGCTGCCCAGGGAAGGGGTGGATTCTCCATCCCTGGAGGTTTTTAAGATGAGACTGGATGTGGCATCAGTGCCATGGGCTGGGAACCACGGCGGGGTTGGATCAAGGGTTGGACTGGATGATCTCGGAGGTCCCTTCCAGCCCAGCTGATTCTGTGATTCTATGAACACAGCAGGAAAACAACTGCCCAGGGTCTGTACCAAGAGCAAGGAAGGAGCTGGGACTGCTCTCGAGAGCCTCTTTCTAACAAATCGAACAGCCCAGCACTTCTCAGGGGCAGCTCGAAACATTCTGTGCCAAGGAAATGTTTCACCTCCTGTTTCCTCCAGGAAATAAAGTCAACTGAAGGCCTGTCCTGCCCTTACATGGCTGGAGATCCCCCTTCCACATTCCCACTGCGTGGGGGGGAGGCTTTTCCAGCCCCAGCCATTGGTTTGGGCTCTGCTATTGCCCTGTGAGTACCCAGATCCTCCAGCAGGAGCGAGGGACCCCCAAATCCCACGGATGCTCTGCCTGCACCTACAAACAAAAATGGAACTTTGCCACCCAAGACCACCAGCAAGACTCAGCCTCTTTCAAGGTCTTCATTTCCAGCCTCCATGATCTTCACCCAATACCTGGTATGTTTCCACAGGTCTGTTTTCCATATTTAAATCCCAGATCTTCACTGACAGATAATCTCTAGTCATCATATATCGACCACTATGGCTAAATTTGACATCAGATATGGAAGAGATGATTTCAGAGAAGAACGATCTGTTGCTAGGATCTTCTGGCTCTTCAAACACTGTAAAAACGAGACAGGCATTTCAAGAGTAAATTTGTGTCTCTTCAATTCAAGATACACCCAAATTAGATTAACGTTTTCTCAACAAGCTTTCCACACTGGGCTACTACATGTTATATAAAACAGCTTTAGGGAGAAACCTTTATAGTACAGTTGCCAAACTCCGAAATTCATTTCACATATCAAGGTCAGGTTCTAAACAAGCGAATTACTTGCTAATATGTGAAATCTTCACTCATTTGTGCAAGATTTCCAGCATCAAGTGGTATTTGACACTGAAGTCTGCAGTGTCTACACTGACTCCTCAGCTGAAGCTGCTACTCATCTTATTCGAGTGCTGTGTCCAGTTCTGGGCCCTCAGCTCAGGAAGGACATGGAGGTGCTGGAGCAGGTCCAGAGAAAAGTAACAAGGCTGGGGAAGGGACTGGAGCACAAGTGCTGGGAGGAGAGGCCGAGGGAGCTGGGGCTGTTCAGCCTGGAGAAGAGGAGGCTCAGGGGAGACCTCCTCACTCTCTGCAACTCCCTGACAGGAGGGGGGAGCCGGGGGGGGTTGGTCTCTTTTCCCAGGCAACCATCAGCAAGACAAGAGGGCTGGGTCTTCAGCTGGGCCAGGGGAGGGCTAGGTTGGAGATTGGGAAGAATTTCTTTGCAGAGATGGTGCTCAGCCATTGGAATGGGCTGCCCAGGGAAGGAGTGGATTCTCCATCCCTGGAGGTTTTTAAGGTGAGACTGGATGTGGCATCAGTGCCATGGGCTGGGAACCACAGCGGGGTTGGATCAAGGGTTGGACTGGATGATCTCGGAGGTCCCTTCCAACCCAGCTGATTCTGTGATTCACTACTTTGGCCAAATACGAACCTAAATTTCAGATTTATTTAGATTTTGTACACCACAGAAATCCAATATGAACACACACAGACCCTCCAGTGTTGAACATCTCACTGAACGCTCGGTCTGAGCCAACAGCCAGCTGTCCCACTGCCCATGAGACACTGCAAAGGGGTGCCAACTCACACTTTGAGTGTCTGTCACAGAGAGCTGACGCCCTCATGTCGCAGAGGCGGATGGTGCCTTTACTGCTGCTGTACACGAAGGTGCTGCAGCTGTTGGGGTGGAACTCGGCGGCCGTGATCACCTCCGTCAGCTCCTCCATGTTGGCAGGCTTGATATCTACAATGTCTGCAGCACCCTGATAAGGAATCTGCTCTGCTCTGCACAAGGGATTTGGGATTTTGCAGCTTGAAATGTATTCAGCAAAGCTCTGCCAGGCCTGAGGAACACGGTCAGAAACCGGGTAAAAGTTAAAATCGATTTGCCTGGAAAGCAAAATGGTAACATCACATTCTCCATCAGTTTGAAGTTAATTCTTCTAACAGCAAAACCTTCTTCATTTCTGCCCCACTGCAGCAATAATTAGTTCTATGCTACAGATTATCACCCGAGTTTTTCATACAGAACTTAATTTTGCTTAAATTCTAAGTACACTATTACATTATCATTAAAAACATAGCACAGGTTGCTCAAAGAAGCTGTGGCTGCCCCATCCCTGGAAGTGTCCAGGGCCAAGTTGGAGCAACCTGGGATAGTGGAAGGTGTCATCACAAGGAAGGTGTCCCTGCCCATGGCAGGGGGTGGAACAAGGTGATCTCTAAGCTCCCTTCCAACTCAAACCATTCCATGATTTCCTTGTGCTCTCCAAAAGCCCCTACAATTACCAAGGAGAAATAATATGGAGAAAACATGGTACACAAAACACTTCTCATGAAAGCAAATAAAATCCAACGGTTTCCTTGTTCCCATCCCACCAAACAATGGCAAAAGGATACTAAAACTCCTGTCTGTGATTTCTAGGTGCCACAGGTTGATCCGCAGGTCGTCTGCAGACAAATACGTTTCATAATCACTATTGATGGAGATGGAATTGATGTGATACGTGTGAGCGTTGGCAAATATCCTCCGGGGACTGGCTTCCACCATGAGGTCCATGGGCCTGAACACTGGCACCTGCAACACACACAGCAAGGCAGGTTGGAGGGGTGAACACACCACCAACATCAGCACCCAAAATCACAGTCCTTCGACACACCGAGCTGGCTGAAATATCTCAAATATCAGCACCCAAAATCACAGTCCTTCGACACACCGAGCTGGCTGAAATATCTCAAAAGCACCTCAGAAGTAAATATTTCTGTGGTATCACAGAAAAATTAAGGATCTGATGGGGCAGTTACTCCCTGGTCTGTGCTGGGGGAGGGAGAGAGGAATGACCTGGACGTGGCCGGTCCAGAGTGAGCTACTCACCCGTAGTGTTGTAACTGTAGTAGGATCCCTATACCGTCCATCTTCCTCCTTTAAATTATAACCCTCTGGTCTTTTGTCCCTTTCACTGATTTTCCATAACTTTATTGTTTTATCTGAAATGAAAACAGCCACAGTTTTAAAATGGGAGCTGTGGCAGAGACACCAGTTGTCACCGCTGACGCCTTGGAACAAGACAAGGCCGCCCACGAGCACCAAAAAAGACAAAAATGCTGCTTGGGGAAAACAAGGCAAGATAAAAAGCATTAAAAAACCTCCTCCACGGTTTGTTCTTTTTATAAAAGAAGTTAGAGCCAAGTTTCAGTTAGGACAGGGATTGTCATGAATAATGTAAGCTCTGGCACAGGGACTCACACCCATGAAGGTGCCGAGTGGTGCTGGGTGAAGCCCCTGGGCTACAAAGCAACCAAATCCCAAATCCCAAATCCCCCACCCTGTGCCCAGAAAAGCCAAAAGAGCCACCCCCCCCAGATATTTGCATTTAAACCCAGCTTGATTCCAGCCTTTTGGCAGTGGAGAGGGTCAGACCCAATCCTAACAGCAAACCTACAAAATAACACACGACCACGACAAATAAAGTCACAACTTACCATTTGTAGACAATAAAAACTGAGCAGCATTTTTCTGGGGTAACCACCTAATTTTGTTGATCTTCTCTTCAATTTCTAAACTTTTCAAGTAGTCAAACTCTGGTTCATGGCTTTGAAAGGTACTGTAAACATTGTATTCTCCCCTACTGTGAGACTGGGTTTTGTTCTAAAAAGAGAATTAAATGATCAAGTTACATATGCAATGGACAGAGTATGCTTTGCAAGGCTGATTTATTTTAACAAGTCTGTAGAATAGACAAACACAGGATTATCTCTCTTGCAAGAATTTGATTAGGGTTTCTACTATTTTAGCTAAGAAAACCTCAGAGAAGAAACAGTTATTGCAGCAACTTGTGATTCCTAAAGTTTCCAGAAATTCCCCTGGGCCATGTGAATATCCAGCAAGTTCTCAGATTAATTCCAAGAAGCTGAATATAAAAACTGTTTTGCCTAAACATTTTCTTTAAAAACAAACAAATAAACAAACAAAAATCTTCATTATTCTCTCACATCTTTAATTTTTCCACCTTTGCTTTTTTAAGGAGAATATTCCTTCCCCTACTACCCAGACACACATATGGCAGATCTACTCAGTGAGTACGTTCAGCTCTCCAGGCACACTATGGAAATCCCACATGTCACCTCTAAATTTGTACCAGCAGCTCCACTATTCTGGTTTATAATCCCCACGTTCCCTGAGAGCTTCTCAACTGCTTAAGAAGCTTTTTTCTTCCTCATTCTAGAACGGGAAAAAAAACCAACCTTAACACCTCTGCTGAATACATCTCTGACACTGGAGTCACCCCTGCAGGGTGGGAATGCTTGGAAAACTGAAACCCACCCGGATTTGCATGATCCCCTCTCCAAAAGCTGTGGTTTAGACGGCACTGCATGGACTGAACCTTCAATTCCCTGCCATGGATGATGGAAAACTGGAGCCATTTGTGCCCCAGCGCTCCCCAGGGGCACCTGAACTGGGCTCGAGCTGAATTCAGTGATTTATTCCTGTCCCACCCACTGCAGGGATTGCACCATCAGATGCCTTTGCTGTGATATCTGCTCTTGACTGGGGACTTTGCTCCTTCCTCCTCCTGTGTCTCACGTCCTCTGCTCCTTTCATCCCTCAGGACCTCCCCCAAACACACACCTGTCACATTCCTCCCATCCTTTGCTGCTGCTTCATCCCCTCACACTGAGAGCTGTCAGGAATTCTGACACTTCAAAATAAGCTGAGGGGGGGAGGGAAAAAGCGGACAAAATGCTTAGAAATCAAATTTGGCACTGGAATTCTGTACCACACCTCTCCCTTCCAGGCTTTCCCACCCTGGAGAACGGAAGGGACTTTGTTCCAAGTCTCAGTTAGAACTAACAAGTGGAGCTGGGTCGCTGCAGGGAGAGGAAATCCATTGTGCTGTAGGAAATGCCTTAGGAAATTCAGGCAACTTTCCTTCACTTCCATGCTTACCATAATGATGGGGGCTTAAATAGTCTGTGTGTGCATTCTAGTAAAACTCCACAGGAGCAGAATAATACCTAAAGCCAATAATATAGAAAATCCATCCTGGGGAGAAAAGCAAAATCTAAAAACTATCTCATGGTGCTCAAAGCAAAAAAATCAGTCAAACCAAGGAGAGGTGTTGGTCCCAGTGCCTGATGTTAAAATGCAACTGAGGTAATTACAGGCTGCCCACGCAAATTCCTGCCCAGTTTCTGTGAGATCCACACTCATTTCCTGCCTGGTGCTGCTCTGATGTCACTGCCTGCCACATTCCAGCCCGGAGGTGGCACCACTTTGGCAGTGGGTAAAGTCCCACAGGTTTGTACAGCTCTGTGCTCTGTTAGTGTTGCAGGTGTGGCCTGCAAAGCCCTGGAATGCAGCAGCACAGAAAGGGGTACAAAAATCCAAGTTAAATACTCGTATTTTAGGTACTTTCACATATAAAAGCTGCTCCAGACAGTTGTGTGTGTGGCAGAACTAACTACAGGGAATCAAGTCCCCGCTGTCCGTTCCCTAAAAAGTCCAGCAGTCAAATTATGCCAAAAATAATCCTGTGCAACTTAATCTGCCAACCCAGGTGGTTCTTCCCACAGCTGGATCCCAGATCAGAAGGATGGGAGCCAGGGGTTACACACCAAAAAACAAGGAGTGCCTCAAACACACTCACTGGAACAGGCAGTGAGCTTTGAGGTACATTAAAGCACCCTTAAAGGAATCAAGGTAAAACTCAAAAGAGTTGAAAAATAATTAAAAAAAGAATAGAAAGAAAACAACAAAAAGCCACCAAACACCGGAGGAGTTGGTGCCAGAGGAGCTGGGCAGGGCAGGGCAGCCCCCACTAGATGTCAGCACTGACCGAGGGGATTTACTGGGATCGGGAAGGTGCCATTCCCACGTGCCAGCACGGACCAACTGGAGCTGGGAATTCCTGCGGTTTGGGATTTTTGGGATTGAAACCGAATGAACCACTAAGGAAAAAGCAACAGCCTGACGTTTCTGGGCAGGGAGGTGACACCTCCCTGGAATATCCTGGATTATCCTCTCCCTGGAATACGTTCTAACCAAAACAACTTCCAACCTCAGCCTTAGTTTAAAAAAAAAACCCAGGCACTCCAGCTCAGCTTCCCACCTCCAACATGGGATTAGAGCCCAAAGATCAAAGGAACAAGGGTTAAATGAGAAGATCTTTTTGCTGTTATGGTTGTGTGATTTTACCTGACTGATATCAGAATGGAAAAGGACATCTGAGGTCACAGCCACACACTTGCTTAAGGGTTACTTTTAATTTCCCCAGCTCCAGTGAAATCTGAAATCATCATCCCAGCCAGGCAGAGCCATTGGAAGAACCAACTTCAGCTCCCTCAAGGCCTTTCCTGTCCTACCCCCACTTTCTGGTTTTCACTTCAAACATTCTTTAGACCACGTTAAGAGTGCATAAAATAATTTCTATCGGTGTCACAAAGTTCTCATTAATTTCTTTACTCTTAAATGTCATTATTTTCATCATTCCTGACACAGACATTCACTTTGTCAACAGTTTTTTATAAAAGCATGCTCCTTTTCTTTAAAAAGGGAATGGATAAGAACAGAACATTTAATATGGTGTAATTAGACAGACTCACCTCCTGCTCCTGCTGAAAGATGACAACTCTCCCTCCCTTGTCTCCTGTTGCTAACAACTCTCCAGAATGGTTAAATTCTACTGTAGAAATTATATCCGCTGCAGAAAAACAGAAATAAACCCCCCCAGTTCATAATTCTTCTCATTACCAAGTGACCAAGAAAACTATGACAAGTGTAAAAGAAAATCCATACTTCGATTTAAGGATATTTGTATTATAAAATGCAAATAATTTCTTTTAAAAAGAATGACAGCAGTCATTTTTTAAACTTCACATTTGAAAAGCAGTAAGAGTTCACCATGCTAGAGTTAAAGGCTCACTGTTCTGCATTACTTGGTTTTTAAAGGTTTTATATCTTGTTATATTTTCTGCTATGACTCTACTTCAGCTGTACCAGCACAGAGAAACTGTGTACATAAATATTCCTACCTTTATTTTCCCAGTTATTCCTGACAGAGGATTTAAATACAATCATTACCCACATGATCTTAAAGTATCTTTTTTTTTTTTTTTAAGGATTCTATACACATTTGACAACTTAAGGGCAAAAGGTATCAGGGTAGAGAAGTTCAGACATCAGTGTCTAAGGAATGCAAGGAACAAACAGGTACAGAAAAATAGGAAATAAACTCATCAGTCTCTGAAAAACTTAAGTATTTCTTCTGGATGAGGAAAGTTTGCATGACCACAAGTATTTTTATCAGTGCTAAAATTAAACAGTGATAAACACAGACAAGAGCAATCCCTAGTATCAAACTGAGCTGTTCCCACAGCAAAAAGGACAATTACAATCACAGTTCCCATTTCCAGGTGCACACCTTGCCCCTCGTACTCTCCGATACAGAATCAGAAGCCAAACCATCTTTCAAACACCAGGCTGCAACACAACAATATAAACCTCATTTCCTGCAGGAGAAACTACCTGAGAGGTTTTCCACACACAGGTCTTCAGGGGACTTTACAAACAGTATTTCCTACAGTGGTTTCCTTACCTAATCTCCATCTCATAACATCTCATTCACAGCATTTTAGAGGTACAAAAGGTTGGTATCTGCTCGACTTGGAGCTGAACCACAGCTCCACTGTGCCCTTTTATGTCCCATTAAAGCTTAAACAGCCCCATGGATCACCCCATCCACCCCCTGCCGTGGTTATCTGCTCAAAAATGGATTTAAATTCCCCAAGAACACCGAGTTAAGGATAAAAATACGATGTCACCTTGCACACAGATAAACCAGGGTCCAGATCTCACACAGAACAACTGGGATTTGGGGGCACATCCTTTTCCCCCTGGAAGGCAGTGGTTACCTCAGCCAGCCCTTCATTTGCCATGTGTTTGTGCCCCAGATGAAGTGATTTCTCTCCCATCTGTGGGGCTGCAGAGCACTCAGCTGAAGAGTTGCCATTAAATATGGACCTTTCACAGGTGAAAGGGGCATAAAGAATTAATCAAAGCCAGCAAAAGAGTGAAGTGCAAACCAAAAAATCTCATTTAGACTATGCCACACACTGCAAACCACATCACTGATGGGAAGAGACCTTAAGGAAGTTATCAGTTAATTGGAGAAGAACAAGGCAAGTGAGCTCTCAGCAGTGAGAAGTACACAGAATAATTACCATTGTGAAAAACACACACTGAACAGGCTATGACAGTCTTGGTAAGATGATACAGCAAGTTATCAGCAGATTCAATGTGTCCATGGCAGAAAAGAGCAAAGGAAAAATTGCCTTAAAAATCTTATATATCTATCTAGGAATAGATGGATACATTCATCCTTGTACTTATTTGGTCAAAGTTTCACAAAGTCAAAAGCCTTATAATTGGAACAGGCAGCAACAACAGCCAGAAAAGCCTTAAATTAAGGGTGAAATCTCCATTTTCTTAGGTCTGATCATATATGTTCTGTATTTACTAATAATACAAGTCTCATCTATAGCAGTTATTTGTAGTTATCCCAGCCATTAATGCCTTTTACATTTATTTTAACTTTTAGGTTCATCCAAGCTTTCCCCCAGTGATCTCCAAGCTACAGGTCCTGCTTTGTCACAGACTCAACTGCACAAATGAACTTTCTGCACCTCCAAAGAGTCCAACGGGCTCAGTCAGGGGTGCCAAGGTCCTGAAAACTCCCCAATCCCTGAGGGATACCCTGCAGATCATTCCAAGTACTTAGATCAGTTTGAAATTAAAGACAAAATACATTTCTTAGCAGCAATTGCAATGGAAAAATATTAATTAGTTTTTAAACTCCAGATAAATCAATAAATCCCACGTGAGCGATCTTGGATTGTTCCCTTTCCAAAATGTCCTAAGGAAGTGACAGAAAACATGGTTTCTGTTGGAGCATTCCCAGAGCAGGGCTGAGAAGCTGATTTCACACAGGAATCAGCACTGGAGAGCAAAACAACCAGTGGTACCTCCAAACCCAGTAACTGCCCCTTTGGAATACCACATTCCCATACCTTGGCCAGAGACAGAGCCGGACATCAGGGCACTGGTGATGAGCTGGGAGGGTTTAATGGTGTTGGAGAACTGACAGGGGAAGCATTTCATGTTCCACAGGGCACTGATTGGCCTGGGGAGTCTCATCTCTGTTAACACTCTTCTTGCCAAAAGAAAAAAATCAGTCTTATCCTTCTCTTTTCCAGTGGTAATTGTAATTCCTGTAGGATTGTTTCAGTCCTTCAGCACCACGACAGCAAAGAAGCATTGCCAGCCTTGCTGCCTCCTCTCTGTCCATCCCCAGCCTTGCTGCCTCCTCCCTGTGTCCCTGCTGTTTGTGCTCCAGCCTCCAGGTGGGAGCTGCAAACACAGAGCTGCTCCACATGCTGCTAAATGATCCTAACCCATCCCTTCCCAATGCTGATCAGTGCTCCTAACCCATCCCATCCCTTCCCAAGGCTGCTGAGTGNTCCCTTCCCAATGCTGATCAGTGCTCCTAACCCATCCCATCCCTTCCCAAGGCTGCTGAGTGATCCTAACCCATCCCTTCCCATCCTGAGTGCTCCTAACCCATCCCTTCCTAACCCATCCCTTCCCAACCCATCCCTTCCCAACACTGCTAAGTGCTCCTAACCCATCCCTTCCCATCCTGAGTGCTCCTAACTCATCCCTTCCTAACCCATCCCTTCCCAAGGCTGCTGAGTGCTCCCAACCCATCCCTTCCCACTGCCCAGAGCACAGGGAAGGGGTATTTAGGGGAGAAGCAATCTCCAGTGTCCACTGTCACCACCCCATGGCCTCTGGACACGTGGGGCATTCATTTCAATGCCCTTTTTCCCCCGCAGCAGCATGGGAGATAAAGAACCACTAACAAGCCCTTCTGGGATGCCACCCCCCTCCCTGGACACGGTGACACAGCCCGACGTGCTGTCACACTGCCACAGCTCCCCCTGCCCTGCACCTCTGGCTCTCTGCTCCCCTCAAGCATCTCCAGACACCCTGGGCACCAAGATGCCCCCGTCACACTGCGAGTGTGGAGGTTTTAAAGCACCACAGGGCAGCAGCAAACACACAAAATTAAGGTATGATTCTGACAGAAACAAAAACCAGGACAGAAATGAGTATCTCCATTCCTGCTGTGCACCTGCACCAAGTTTCTCCCTCTTGCATCACTTGGGTCCCACAGCTCAGGGGTTACTACAGCACTTACAAATACTTCTTTGCACAGATCTATACATTTGGCCTTTGGTCCCACATAAATATCCCTTTATAGCACTTACTGTTGTAGAAACACTTCTGAGACTACTAAATACTTCCAAATAATGGCTTTCAGTGACCTGAAAGCAAATGGGTGGCGGGGTGGGAATCACCTGCACAACCTGAAATCCATTTATGAGGGAAAATGTTTTGCAGCAGGTCGAGCAAAACACTATGAAAACACAGAGCTACTACACAGCTGTACCCTGACCTCAAAGAAATGGAACTCTACAGCCAAACCAAGCCACTGATCCCCAAAATCTCCAACTGCCAAGAGAGGCTTTGGTCTCTGAGCCATCAGCACATGGGGACAGGGCAGAGTCTGATTTCCCTGGAGTCATCCAAAGCTCCTGACAGCCCTCCCAGACACAGCAGCTACAACCCAGTGAAGGTTTCTTTTCCTTCTGCACATCATCTGTATTTTCCCAACCTGCCCTAAGCTTTTTACGTATCCCTTCAATGAGACATCTTCACTTTTGAAGTGCTCCAACAAAAATCAGAACCACCAGCAAGGATCAGACACTTCACTGGATTCAAGCACGACTGGATTTGTCCATGGCAGACACAGGAATCTGAGGAACCAAAGGAACTAAAACAAGGGGACAGGGAAAGGGAAGGGGAAAGACACTTCTCTCAAAGCTTAAGTAAGGCCCTGAGGCCACTGAGCCAGTACAGTGGGAAGGTGACCAGTTCAAACGAAGAAAAAGCAAATTCTGTTGTTCAAAGACAGATGAATAAAGGAATCCAATGGGAATAAAGGAACCCAACAGATCTCCAGTGCCTTTTGCCCTGTTAAAAGCCATGTCTGAAACAAGAAGAACTCAGTGACAGGTATTCAGTGACCTTCCCCACTGCCCAGTGAGTGCAGAACCAGAACCACACACGCACTGGCACCAGCAAGATCCCTAAACATCACAGCAAGGGTTGGGCTGAAGTTTTATTCCATGGAAGAAGGGAATAAAACAGCTCCATCAATCCAAACAATACTGTAATCCAATGACTTGGTTCCAGAAGGCCCATCACAAACCTGAAAAGCAATTCTGTATTAAATTTGTTTCCAATAATAGAATAAAAGGGATTTTATTAGTAGAGAAGAGGCTATCTATTTTAATGTACCATGAACTTTATATAAACTCTGCTTATAAAACATGCTTGGTAGGCAAAACATGTCACCTACTCTCCAGCAGAGAGTCAATCATGGCAGGAACAAAGAGAGTCTTTATTCCACCAGACCTAAAAGGTTTCTGTGCAAGTTTTGGGACTCATGTTGATCTGCTGCCTAAGCAGAGAGCAAGTAAATCAGTGTGTTTACACAAGTGGAGCAAACTCCTGATGTTTCCAAGGACTGAACAAAGAATTGTAGTATTTAAAAAGCATTCTAGGACTTCTTTCATTGTT